ATTTATTGGTGGCCTCTAACTCACTAACGAAGAAAAGCGATGAAACGACCGACAATGACGTGACAAACACTGGTTCCATTAAGCGTCATGACGACTGTGATGATAAAAATGGCTAAAACTAATCGTGGCTAAATACATATAGTAGCAAAAATGTGCTGATCAAGATTTACAATGCGCCACAAAAAATAGTTGCACTCAGAAGCATAATACTAGGCTAAAATAATAAGGTATAGATATATAGGTATTTTATAGGGTACTCAACACCAACACCGCTCAAGAAGAACACTACGAGTGTACGGCGTTTTCAACCTGCTCTAACCAGCATTCCTGTTTTTTACGAATAAACATGCTGCGACCTCTTACCTCTATAAATTTAACAGGAATTTAACTACTAAAATTAGAACATAGATCAGTAGGAGATTAAACATGAACTATAAATAACAATATGCAACGAAAGCCCGTAGATAGCTAAAACACTGACTCAATGACACTCAAGGAAAATAACAAACAGGGCCCTGACCCGGTGCGAATTGATGTCCACAATTCATACCACCTTCCTTAGACTAACTCAATACAGACGCCATTAAACTACAGATGACACGGCAGTGTAAGGAAACGCACTCACACTATATATTTAGACTAATAAATATACTGGAAAAAACAAGTAGAGTAACGACGGACTTGTGGTTTAATGTTGGCGTTTTACACGGTATTTTTATTATCTACACGGTCCTATCTTGGCTGGCTATATTAGCTAATGCTTAATAATTCTGCACAAGTCACACTACACCTGGTGACGTGCTGACAAATGGAGCAATGAATATGAACAGTCGAAAATAAATTTTAAACGATTATAGCCTCTAAAATTAAGATGCAATCGGCTAGAAAATGAGACACTATATTGAGTAAACGCCAAAACTATTCTAATTCGCGTGATTTACACGTTCAATCCTACAAATTAACTATTTTTGTAGCGAAGCTATTTAAACTCACTTAAATTTACGATCATAAACCATTAAAGCGCCAGTGGCATGACTTTTTTAGAAAAAACTAAAATAGAATAATCAAAATGTCTAATTACTTTATGATACGGCCTTGAGAGGTAGTGACAACTGCAGACCACAAGAAGATGGGGAAGCGTCTATGCAAACCATGGATATAGAATATGCCATCGAGTCACTCATCTATAGGCATTTTGTGTCATTGATTAAGGAGTTGACACCGATTGCTTGGTGGCGAATGGCGGTCGAAAGGGTAATGGAACATCATTCACACACGTCGCAAGCCATTGGCACCTCTGCAAACTGACAGAATCACGTGGTTCAAATAACCCAATCTACTAGCAACTTAAGGGAATGGACCAATACTTGTGACCGCTCTCGACCGCGCCAGATACATACTCTACGCAGGTCAAGACCAACACTCTTCATACTGCTGGTGTGATAATCGGCATCATAGCTATAAGGCTAATCTCTACTAATATCGTACATTTCCACGATTCACATGGTGACAGACCTCAGTTAAAAACATGACAAAACACGCGGTCTCCTAGCCACACTCATACAATCGGGTTCGTAGCGACATCTGCTTGTAAAAAAATACGTCAGACACGTCGACGAAAATACTTCAAAATAATGTATGCATATAATCGCTAATGAGTTAGTACGTGTTTAAACATCGAGTACAAAACGCATCTTTTAATGTCATTTATTACACAATAAACACGAATTTACGAAAACAGTTTTTAAAAACTGGGGGCTTACTTGCAAAAAAGTAGTGCTGGATATAAATACTTTAGTGTAATTTTCGTTTTCTTCTTCCTCGGTTCTTCTCGCAATCAGTACTCGTTGAACAATTGACGAATTAGGAGGGTAATATTGTTTGTTTGTTTCACTTTTGTCGTATTTGGCTGTAACAAGGTCGTGCCATCTTTGGTACGAACATATAAACAATAGCTAGTCACAGGTCTGCTCGCTAAGGTATTTGGACAGCAGTTACCTCACGCAGTTGTAAATACATAACGGTTGTAAGGTCCCGGTGGCTCTCGATAATCGAACAGACGTGTGCAAACAGCGATTGCGGCCACGTGAAAGTCGGAACTATCTAAACTCGTTAAAACGTGCTTCATAACTAATAAAACCGAAGCGCCGCGTTGGAAGCGTGTCGGGTGCACTAGTTCTCCCACACAAAGTCGGCTTTAGCCGTCCTGCGACAGTGATTTGGCACTCAAGCAGCGGGCACTTCAGACGTGCCGGATGCAGCAGTCTCAAACACGTACGGTACAATTCGGGTACTTGACCTTCTCGCAGTAGCGGTCCCGCGTCACCGTACTTCTGTCGGCACGCGTGCTCGTCCCGGATTGCGCGGTGTACGAGCAGCACGCAATAGTAGATCGGGTAGAACCACGGCGGCAGGGTGCTGAATCCTGTGTTCCAAAGGAAAAACGCTTCGTTAGGAAATCGCCATCGGTGCGACGACTCACAGTGGCAACTCGTGGAGCATGGAAACTGTTGAGACGTGCGTAAGTGCACAGCGGATTACTGTATCTGGTAGCACCCACGTCAGACTTTGAGACAATGTTACAACGACGATGCTGTAAAATATTTGTATTCCATCATTTTCTAAATGGAGAAGCGATTTCCACGAGGATCCTTTTTATGTACGAGTTAGCTGAAGATTTTTTGGCAAGCTGTACAGGCACAATGCTGACAGAAAAGCAGGATGGTTGAGTAGTACTCACCACAGGGCAGCGACCGGCGACAGCATCAGCAGATCTCCCAGGTAGTTAGCTTCCTCACGAATCCCCACCAACCAGAGATGAGGAGTCGCTTGCCAGACGGTGTTGTGCGAGCTTTCAGATCTGTTGAAAGGTCGACAAATACGTATAAACACACATCTGCAAAAATTCCACCTGTAGCCTTGTAGATGGCACCACAGTGCCATTTAGTTTTATCCAGGTATCTATGAGTAGGCTACCAACCTGTCAAGCTTCCCAACCAGTTTTATATGATCTTGAAGTTACTAGTAATCACAGAAACAAATAAGGGTCAGACAAACGTGTTATAGGAACATATATGCGTACAAAATAAAACAATTACACACGTTAGTACAGGAGAAACTACATGACTCTAATGGAAAAAAACTTACGAAAAACTGATGGTGAGGATTCTAACCGGAAGGTGTCCTTCTCCTTGTTTGCCAGTCCGGAAAATCCAGAATCCAATCACTGGATTTGCAAAAACATACGGAACGGAAATGTAACACCGCTAGTCAGAGCACCCGACCACATCAACTATTTATTGATTCACATGCTTACTACACATACACATCCAGCAATTCACGACCGTGTATTCTACATTTATATTTACGTAAACATGTTTCTTATCAACACAGTGAAAATTGGCAGCAGGTGCACAAGGAAAACGCAGTCGATAACGATGCTGCAAGCTGGATTCGTGGTGCTCAGCATGTCACGTGGACTTACTGTCAGCAGGAGAATAGCCACTAGAGCGTAGTTGTGCACGTCCACAGAGCTTCCTGTGATCGAGCAGATAGCGTGCCTGCAAGGGAGTAGACAAATGGCAAGACCAGGTCACCTAATGCCAGCATCCAACCGAATCCCTCCCTGTGTGATGTCAAAGGTCGTGAGCCACGATCCTGCAAGGCAACCATCACTAAGTTTTAGCATTCATCTACACTACACGATACGCCAATCATTAGCACTGCGCTGTGACACTGTGACCAGTACATAATGCCTATATAGGCATAATCAGGAGTAGATAATAGGGAGGAAGTGTGACATACAAATAACAAGGGAAATTCGTCATTTACTCAGCTTATAATACTAACGATTTTACTACACGTAACTACATCCATTGGCTCAAAATCAGTACACAGTAGCTTCGCGCATCATCGTACGAAATCATTTCCTCGTAGACACCCGCAATCCTGTAGATACAGCCCTAAAACTCGACACGATTCTCCATTCTCTGCCATCAATCCAACCCATTGCGCGTCTATAATTCAACACAAAAGCAGCTACTAGCGCTATTTGCTACACTGAGCGAGCATGTGGCTCGCTGGGATATAGGCCATCAACACCTCGGCGAATAACCTTGTGACCCAGTACAGCAACTACCCAGGCACCTTCTGTCACTAGCTGGCATGCGCCTTCACCACGCATGCCAACCATAAATGAACTTAGCTGCGTCGAGGGTTGCGTCGATCCCAAATCTCCCTGCAGCCACAACCGCCGACATCAGCTATCGAGAGAGCAAAAACGTACAGCGACTGCCGCCGCCAGGTTCTGCCCTTTTGTCTGAATTATAGGCGCGCAAGGGCGTTGGATAATGGCAGAGAATGGCAGAATCGTGTCGTACGTTTTAGGCCTGTATCTACGATTGCGGGTGTCTACGAAGGAACGATTTCGTTACGTATGATGTCGAATGTACTGTGTCCGATTTGAGCTCAGTTGGATGAGTTCGACGTAGTATAATCGTAGGTATTATAAGGCTAGTAAATGGACGAATTTCCTTGTTTATTGATGTTCACACTACCTCCCTAATTACTACTCCCGATTATATGTAGCCAACTCCACACACAGTGCAATTTGAACAAGGGCTTGCAACTATACACAATACAATCGTCACAGCTTAAACACGTACACGAGTCTACATGCACTGCTATCATCGCTGGTTCAACACGTTATTGAGTCTACACACAATGCAAGCTATCTTAAGTTGCTAAATTTCTCTAGAATAAGATCTAATTCTCCCAGATCAGCACAATACTAGGCAAGGAATTGAAAATGCAAAAAATAAGGGTGCCCGGTGGCTATACACACATCGGTATACGGAGATCGGTAGCCACAGAAGTCGTGTGACAACTGCTGTAAAATCACATATCGCAGATAGAAACTTGAAAGCCTTTGTAAAAGAAGACTGAAACCAAGTCTGCACAATGAGATACTCATGGCACTGTCGGTACGCTCCTGTACTTACCTCATGGAATAGAGCATCAAATACGTAAAGAAACTGGCAGCCGACGACCAACAGTAGAGGATAAGATGGACTGCCATTGTCCTGACAATCCTTTGCGACCATGCACATGTTTATGACAACCTTAACATAAACGTGATCGAGAACGATTAGGAATTACATATATAGATCAATACTTTCATTAATTACATGTTACTTTTGTCTACGTTTAAGGGCAATTCCACGGTGACTGACGTGACATTTTTTGTCATTTCTGAACATTCAGCTCAGATCTTAGACAACTTACAGTACCTTCTTCCTAAACGTGTGCGTGTGTGTGCGTGCACGTGTGTGTGTGTGTGTGTGTGTGTGTGTGTGTGTGCATGTATAATCTTGGCTTCAACAAGACCTAGTTAAACTCACCCATCCAATGAGTCCAGGTCTCAGCTCACAAAAAAACTTCAGATCAAAGCTGCGGATGCGAGGGTTCAGCTCGTGACCGAGGAAGAAATCGTAAATATGGCTGCCTGAAATGTGCACCCATCCCTGGATTAGCATGTGGACAAACTTGGACCAGTGTTCTTTCAGAGCCTCAACTCAATAACATCAATACCCTTCAACAGCCTCAGTTAACATGGTTCATACAGGACTGAAAATTTTCTCAAGGACATTTTATCGGAATTCATACACACAACAAAACATACCTGGATTAATTTAATAATAACCCCATTCTTAATCACTGTCACCTCTAACTTACCTGGATCACATTAATAAACCCTTCTAAACACTGTCACTTCTACAACATACCTTGATTTACTGACTGATTTTACTGACTTACTGTAATTTGTGATCATCATTTAACTACTGTCTATCGTGTCTATAGCTTTTTAAGCTCATTTAACACAATTTTTATTGAGGTTTGCACATTATTTATGGTACAAAATGTCTTTTTATTACAGGCAAGGATTCTTTCTAAAAATTCAAGGACTTTTCAAGCACAAAATCAACATTTACTAAATTCAGGTACTTTTCAAGGACTCCCCTCAAATTCAAGGACTTTTCAAGGACTGTGCGAACCATGGTTAATGTACTTGCCCTTCTGTATACTTGATAAGAATAGGTCTGTTTTTGTTGGTAGGTAAACGGCAACAACAACCACCCCCTTCCCTCCTACCCGATCCCACATGTTGCTATAAATGATCGCACTTTTGCCAAAGCCAGTTTTTGTTAAGTTATCGCCACATAACTAAGTGCACCTACAATGTGGGCGTACAAAATCTGGTCAGTTCTAGGAGTTGGACGACATTTTGTCAGTAACAGCAGTCACTCAATTTTCCAGAAATCTCCAAATAAATTAGAATTCTAACCGAACACCCCCAAACCTCTACTGGTTTCTCTTCCGGCATGCCGTGTAGCACCCCCCCTTCACCTACCAGAATTTCCGTATGGGTTCAGGGCATTGTTGGCGGCACGGCGAGCTTTCAGGTACAGGATGACAGACATCAGAGTGGAGAAGACCATCGCAGTACAAGCCAGCTGCATGTAGTTGCGGTAGACGAAGGCAGCGATCGGATACTTAAGGTACATCTGTGCCACAACGAGACTGGCCAAGCTGACCACAAACGCAAGACCACCTGCAAAGTGACACGTGCGTTAGATGTTAGACCTCCAAATGTACGTATCAAGTACTTAGCAACAAGGTTGAGGAGTTGATATTCCGTCAGATTCACATTCGAATAGTTGGTCCGGCAAGCGTAAGTAATTCTGAGTGGTTCCGACACCAGAATGCTCTTCATTTTCCCCCTTTACCAATGAGTCAGCACTCAAACTTTAGATTATATACTTGAGGACATACGTGCAGCAATGACACCTCGTGCCTTGATGGAAAGCGGAATCCATAGATCATGGTTGTTGTGATACGACCGGAATTTTTTTTACCTACGTGCAAATTCTTCTGTGGATCCAGCAACTTTAAAGAAAGAGTTTATATGCATTGCACTTTTAACACTCACGTATGCACGCGCACATACACACACATGCATGCACGCACACACACATCACATGCAATTACCATTGAGACGGTAGCTGAGACGATTGCCCGAACGCAAAGGCTGTCCCTGTACGATGCGCCCAATAGGTAACAATGCCAACAGCACCTGTGCAACGAACCAGCCCATGTATGCTGCAGTTGCCTGCCAGTTGAAATATGCATGGAGCTGCAGAGGTAGCTCAGGTCTCTTGAAGAATACGCACTTTCCCTGCACAAAGAAGCATTACAATTATTACAACAAACTTAATTTAAAAATATATATAATTAAAATGTAACATTTCTATATAGAATAAAATTATCCACTTTATGAAGACCACTGATTCATTCATCTACAACCTAAAGCAAACAAACTGGAAGCAAATAATCACAAAGCATGTGATATTCTTGTGTTATATACAATTTAGTGATTTTCGTTATTCCCAAAGTTATTTCACAAAATCAAATCACAGATGAAACATGTTTGCATCAGCTGCGAAGCCCACATGCTACTACAAATACAAAAAAAGGGTTTACCTTTTCAAGTTTTTGCAGCGTTAACGATGTCAACTTCATTTGCATTGAAATGCACCGAGTGCAGGTGTTTGTAGCGATAGATACCTTTGTACAGGTGAAATAGAGAAGGATCACGGTGGCTGGCAGCATCAGCATCGTTGTCAATGCTCCGAAAGCACCACCAAACTCCTTCTGCATCGTCTTCCTCACCTTCTCGCTGCGAGGCATTTGCTTGATATCTGCCGTCATCGACTCTGGCTGCTGCTGCTCCCCGAAACATCATAACATAAATAAATTAATATTAGTAAGGAAGAAAAAAAAATGAAAGTCCATTGGTACTGACAAAAGCTACATAACTTGCTCTTCATCTCGAACCGACTTGAACCTAAGAGGGCAATGAAGCAGGGTCTTAAACCATGTAAGCTCCAAATGCGGAATGTTCACACGGTGATCAGTAACTAGTGGCGTATTCAGAAATTGATGGGGGGGGGCGAAATGTACCTTGGCTGCCGCAGGCAGGCCTGCGTGCCGTAGACATGGCAGTGCTAGGGGGGTCTGGGGGCATGCCCCCCAGAAAATTTTGAAATATTTAAGCCATTTTCCTGCAATCTGAGGCATACTGTGGACCATATTCTCATGTCTGATAACACTATCTCAACCCTACAACCCTTGCCTGATTAGCAGACAAACTACGCGACACCTTGCAGACAGCGCCTGTCTGACTAGGCTATTCCATTTACCGTAGACATGCCAGATACAAAATGCCTGAAAAAAAACAATGTGTCCAAGCGAACAATGAGAACAATCAGTGCAAATTAAACCTAGAAATCGTAAAGATTCCACAGAATGAGGAACGGTTGGAGACCCTGATGAAGCATCAGAAACTGTCAGTAGCTTGTGATTCCTGCCCCCCTTGATACGACACAGAGCAACATGTGCAAGCAAACTGACGTGCTAGCGGCCAGGATCAGCAAAATCCGCCCGTGCGTTCGCCGTGATTACCTTGTTGGTGCTGGCCATGGCAGCCAGGCGAGCCGAAGTCCGCGTGGGAGTATCCGGCCCGAGTGACCTCACTTCATCCTTCACCTCCTTATCGATCTTGTACGTCTTTGTCTCGCTCAGTGTGGTTTTCTTTGCCGGCGTTGACGTCATCGGAATCGTGGTGGTGCGTGATCGCGATGTGGACCGAGACCTGAGGTGTGATTACGCACATGCAAGCTTGGTAGAATAGCTAGGGCCACAATTAAAATTTTTTTTTATTTGCCCTCACCCGACCCAGGCTGAACAGTTCGGGTAGGTAGGTAGGCTTTTTTTTAGTTTGAATTTTTTTGGGGTCTTTTTACAAATTCAGCATGGTGTCTACATGCTCGGGTGTGCTTGTGCGCAGATACCTTTTATGTTGAATGTTTGTTTTGCTTGGTACATATAATCAAGAGCGTATAAAGAAAGAGAGCGTATAACGGTGAAATGCTGAAACCATGTTGCAGTATTAGTCAAATGAATAAACTTTCCCGGTTTTATTTTGACGATTCTTTGCAGTATTATTGATCAGCTGTCCTACCTTGTTTTAATATAAAACAAACCGAATGTCCCTACGATGCCCCTACGCTGAGATAATAAGCGGTGAAAATCTGGTATTTTCGTCGAAAACCGACTCGAGATCAGTGTTTACTGCGACTGTCTCTCGCTTTGAGATAACTCCGGGAAACCTCGCGTGTTTCCGCCAATGATTGACAAATGGAATGAATGACGTCTGTTATTGATTGCCATAGTGACGACCCCCACCTGTGCCCACCTCACGCTGGATGTATAGTAATCTCTGTAGTACTGACGTGAGTCAGTGCTACCATGGCGCTACACAGCGGCGACCGGAAGCAATACACTGGCCACAAAGCGAGAGACAGTCACAGTAAACACTGATCTCGAGTCGGTTTTCGGCGAAAATACCAGATTTTCACCGCTCATTATCTCAGCATAGGAGCATCGTAGGGACAAGCGGTTTGTTTTATATTAACAAGGTAGGACAGCTGATCAATAATACCGCAAAGAATCGTCAAAATAATATGGGCAGTTTCTTAATTTGACTAATACTGCAACATGGTTCCACCATTTCACCGTTGTACGCTCTCCTTCTTTATACGCTCTTGATATAAATGTATTGCCCACAGATTTATATAATGTACAGTGATACAAATTGTAAAAAAAAATAGGAAAGGTCAATAACATTTTTTGAGTCGGCCCCTTTTTGGCGGGTCGGTCGAGTGAGGGCAAACAAACAACATTTTTATTATGGCCTAGTCATGATACCAGTACAGACACGTCACACCTGTGACAGACTCACTCACTGAGCTCCAGAAAGACGTTTACTAAAATATAAGTAAGTTTACTTCAAGTTATTAAGTCTCATAGTCTAATTCCCAACACTTAGTTAAGTTTTTACTCAAGTTGAAAACAGCTACAGCTGTTTGTAGAGTTATATATAGCATTAAATGAGTCTTAATATTTAATTCTTTACTATTTTAGACTGGTGAAAAAGGACAGGAGTATAGACATACATTGCTATTCCTACATTTCCTATAGGCTTGTGACAAAAACCTTGTTTAACAACCCTCTGAAAACATTCCTGTCCATGTAGAACCATCTAAGTTGTGTACAATCCCAGATTAACGAATGTATGAATAGATTAACAAAACACTACCAACGTAGGCACTAACTAACTGTTCTTTCCAACACTACCTTCTAGCCGGCGATGTTGTAGCACTCTTTGTCTTTGCTGTGCGTGGTGGAGACTTCCCGCGACCTCTGCTCCGAGATCGTGATCGCGATCTTGCTGGTGATTTAGATTGGGACCTGGAGGGCTGTTGAATAGATAAATCGAGCTTTCGTATCACCTGACAATTTAAGAATTCTGCATGCTAATTACTGAATAAGTACACACAGTCACACACACATGCACGCATGTACGCACACACACGCACGCACGCACGCACGCACGCACGCACACACACACACAAATCAACCAAACTCTGCACATCTATCAAAAGAGCTCAGCATTTAAACAAGGTTTCTTATGATTACGATATGTCAAACCAAATTGTGTGTACGAACGTCCCTGGCGTTTGCAACTGTAAACATACACTACTGTCTAGAGTACAAGTCTGGATTAGGCAAGTCAAACAATTTGGAAATCAGCTCACTCGTGGCAGCATAAACCAAACCAACCACACCAGCGGGAACCAAACAGCTGATCGGCTGATCCAGTATGACCTACGAATTCAAACACCGGGCACAGTGCGAGATTGCATAATGTAATTACAATGTCTATGCCCTGAAATCACTTACTCCTTGCATACAATTTTTCATAGTGCAAACTGTAGGGAATAACCAACAATGCTTACAAAAAATGAGAAAAGAGGTTAAATAGTGACAGTGAGAGCAAACTAATGTGGATATGTAACAGAGAACACATCAAAATCATCAAGAATTTGCCCAAGTACAACAGGTTTTCTTTTTCTTTTCAATAGGATCAATTGAGATGGAAATGCTAACATTTCATATGGACAGTCAAATACTAATGCCATTTACCATCCTTCATAGTTCCGTCATTGTTAGATGCATAAGTCTGATCGTATTTGAGATAGTGAAACCAGTTCTTACGCATTCTCACTCTACTAGTAGCTGGTACACAGTGAGCAGGGGCAGAACTAATGGTAGCAACTGAAATTTAAAATGAACCGAGTGCACAGCTGGTACGCTCTCTCGTCAGATCCTGTTATATCACATTCAAATGTAGGATCACATAACTCCGCCTGGGGAGCATAACAGGGCAACGCTGCGAAATGAGACACAGAAATTAGAATGCTATAGGCGGCAATACCAACACTTACAGATCATTTTTTGTTTGTAACAAGACCGGCAGCTGGTATCAATACAGCAGAAGTTTTTTTATTAACTTTTTTATATACTGGCAACATTAATGTAACTGTACCCAATGTTGAGCTAATAATACTCTTGATAATACCAAAGAGTTGGTGTGACTGTGTAGCCTTGGATGTGTTATATGCATGCAGATTTTCCCCTGCTAAATCTGATTTGGTATTTATTAAATTGGCACAAACCACTAACACGTCCAAATTACACACAAACTAAAAACAAACAGAAATAGCTGAAATAATCTTACCTTAAATTTAAATAACTAAAAATGTAAATGACTTTACAACTAGCTATTTCAGATTTCACTTAGAATTTGCTGCTGCTGTTTTTTTATGCAACTAAATACCACATGGAACTGATTTAAAGCACATTTCAATTCAGGATGTGTCATACATGGACAAACCAGAGCTCAGTTTTAACCCTGGTCAGGGTTTCTTAAATACACAAGAGGCACAGTGGCGCACCGCCGTTGTCAAATTTAAAGGGAGAGTTTACTCTAGGTTCTAGGGTTATTTTCAGCTAATTTAGGTTATAATTACGATACATAAAAAGTTTCATGGTTCAATCACCATTAGAAATATTTTTTTTAAATGTTTTAAAACTAACGACTACCGTGTGATTACAACGACGGTGGCGCCACTCAAAGCGCACGATCTGATAAGTTGCGCAAAACCACTTTCCAGCCAAGGGCTACAGACCGAGGGTGTTTCTTATTTATTCATTTAAAAGCAAAAGGATTGTAATATCATCTCATAAACGACATATAGTTTCAGTTATAATATGGATAACACTTGCCCGCTAAAAGAATACCGTTCTGCGCATTTAAATAGCTTTAGGTATAAAATATAAATGCACTTTTCGGGAATTAGCCCTCGGTCTGGTAACGGTGCAAAATAAATTGTACAAATACGCAACTTTTTTCTGGGTTGGCAGCACGGTCGCGGGTGTCATGGCGCAGTATCAAATTTCGTGGAAATAGCCGTTGATGTGTAATAATTAAACAATTAATATTAGGCACTGGTAACAAATAAGTGGGGTATCAGAAGAATTTGTTATACAGTAAGTACAAGTTGTAGCAAGTAAACCCTAAGGCTACGTCTCTTTAACAGTCGCCGTGTGGGAAAATGTTCCTGTTATTACTGATAATGTAATCTCCGTAATTTATATTACCTATAAGTATATCAATACATCCGGTATTTGAATCCATCAATGCGCGTTTTTTCCGCCAAAACTGGCCATTTACCTCCTTTGTCTAATTTTCCCCTCAGAAGAAACCCTGCTGATCCATTTCAAAAATCATAAACATGACCACAAGCACACAAGTCCCTGGTGCATTGCGGAGAAGGGTAAATGCGATCACTGTCTGCTTGAGAAATGCAAATAAAAGATATAGCCGTCTATCATACTTTCTGGCTGAACCTTGAAACAAAATTCTTTATGAATTTGTAACACTTTTGGGAGGTTATAAAATGCTGCAGCTGTGCACGTGAGAAATAAAACTGTGAATGGACCTGATTATTTCTTAGTTAGAAGTACCGGCTTTCGGTGACTTGTCTGCCTGGTCGCGATAATGGTTTTGCCCGTTTTTAGCTCCACGGTGTACTTTGCCGTGGTTGTCGAGTACTTATACCAATCCACCCACACATCAGCTGGTCTGCTATGTAAACTCGCACACCTGCCTCTCCCATCACCTGACGTAGCTAAGCGCATTACTGGAGATTTTGGGCCATCCTTAAATGGAACATTATAATACAAGTATTAGTGCTCAAACCAGCTAAGAGCTAACAAATATTAATTTATAGACACAGATTATCTGACAAAGATTGGGATTTGATTACTAGTATAGTAACTAGTCGCTCATCAGGGGTCTATGTCCCCCAGCGGTACTGCGCCGGAACGGTACCCTGGTACAGTTCCGGTTATATCCGGAACGTACCATTGGTAACTATCTGATCCATGGTTAGGTTTAAAGGGTTAGGGTTTAAGCGGTTAAGGATAGCGCGACTCACCTAGACTCGTTTTAGTGGGTAGGCAAGGTTATGGTCCGGCGCCTATATTATTAGTACAGCAGAGCATATGTATATACGGTACTATTAGATCTATGCGTACAGGTACAGTTCGGCCGGCACGTACCCTGGGGACATAGACCCGCCTCTCAGCGTAATGCGTTAAGTATTATATTATTAATTAATCCATCAAACTCGTGACAGAATCACGATAAAAACACGGTTTAAATGATCGAAACTACCGTTAAAAGTGTGTAATGCATAAATTCACCAGCGATACATACACAGCCATAGTACTGGTCCAACACTAGTCTATAGTGATGTCACGGATCATCCGATTATACTCGATCAGTCGGTTGAACAGTGGGCTCGAACCAAACGCTCGGTTATCAAAATCATAATCGATTTCAATCACAAGAAAAAAAAAACTGTCGCGAAAAAAAACGAAATAAAATGTAAAACTTGACAAGCAAAAATTGGAAAAGTTATGAGAATCAGAGATATCAGTCGCTACTATATATATATATATTCAAGCTATCCTTTCATTTAACATACATGTAAATGATGTTATTAATACAAATAATACTAATTAGTATTATACACACAGTGTAGTTAAACCGTTGCAAAACAAACCAGTAAATTGAGTAAAAACAGTGGCTAAGGACAGGCACATACATGTCACACGACGTTACGCACACCCAGGCACTTCAACACACGGTAAACCGCGATCTGTAAGCATCATCGGTTACTTGGCGTCTAAGCGCGATGATAGATTATAACGAATATACAACCCGATTACCAACACTAGATCAACCACAGACGTAACGCTAATCAATCAGACAAATGCCTGCCCTAATGTAAGGAAAAAATTGTTAATCCATTAAAAATCCAATAAACTGATTAAGTTTATTAAATTTATGATTTTTTACCCTATAACTAGCAAACATAATAAATGCTAATAATTAACCTGATAGTGCGCAATCGGAACCGTTCTTTTGTAATTTAACGAACTAATCATATAATATGTAGAGGAAATATTGACATTTGGCGCGCCACCAACGAACAACAAACAAGCAGTACGCGTAAACCGGCGCCACAAGTGCGTTTTTGTGATTGGTCGTTACGCTTAGTGCCGACGTAAACTGATTGGCTTATCAGTTCTGTCCTTCGCACCGCCGATGCTAGTATTTTCGAATGCCGGAGCTTCCTGATAACAGTTTAGTCGATTTCAGTATTTTTACGTAGATTTAACGCCCCTTTGTTCCGGCTACGATCCACTGTCGACCTCGAACCCCCAGTAAATGAACCGTAGCACATAATATTAGGACGAAGACGGAGAGCGAAGTGGATCAAAATCGATAGAGTGCCACTGCGGATCGCAGTGGAAAAAAGTTGCAATTTGCCAATTTACCAACGAGTTTCAATGAATGAGGAAGATTCCGTTGTACATTGCACATATTTTTCCATTTCTATAATATAATTAATAATACTAATACTAATATAATGACAGGGGTGAGGAATCGCGCAGATGTACAGGCAATGGATTGAATGACCATAACTTAATAACACATCGAAGCATAGACTTGCTAAGGTGTAAAGTCAACCCAGCTTGCTGGATGTCAGTAGATTTTTGCTGGAGAATTGGGTTCATTTTGGGAATATATATGCTGGAGGTTCAGAAATATTTTTCAAACACGACCAGTTTCTGAATATTTTTGGCTTTAAAATATCGTATTTTGCAGTACATCATATTCTGTTTTCAGTGGCGTAACGCAGGGAGGGTGTTGGGGTGTTAAACACCCCTTGCCTCTGTCCGAAACAAACCATTTTTTTAAAGAAAAGAGAAGGAGAGGAGAAAAAGGGAGAGAGAGAGAGAGAGAAAGAGAGAGAGAGAGAGAGATGAGAGAGAAGAAGAGAGAGAGACGAGAGAGCGAGAGATGAGAGAAGAGAAGAGAGTGTGTGTGAGAGAGGAAGGAGAGAAAGAAGGAAAAGAGAAGGGAGCGAGAAAACAGAAGGGCCCCCTATTATCCTTGTTTTAGATTAATGTATTGTAAACACCCCCTCCCGAGCTGTAAGAACAAGATAGCTTATAAACGCAGCTGTAAAGGAGTGTGTACAATGAGAATGAGATAGAAAACGCCCAAATCGATCTGCGTGCATGCTGCGCGAATCGCGATGTCGTAACTACAATTGTAGATTGGGCAGAATTGATTTGCACGCAACACATATACTTAGTCATAGACGTGAGTTTGTTCATACAATCGTGAAGATTTCAGAAATTTCCACCTCGATTTTATAACTGCATCTTACCTATCAGCTATCACAACGCAAGCTTTTTATAATAATAGCTAGTATGAGCCCTATGCAACGTGGTCGCACTGTCTGTAGTTTAGCGGGGGTAGTAATGGATAAGTACTTGTGATTCAAACAAACCAAACACTACACAGCACAAACTACGCACAGCCACCCTTCTCTCGCCTCTCACCACGCACGGCACACTACGCACGGCACGTAGCAGTGCCAGCAAGCACGTAAGCACGCCACGCACGCACGACACCGCACACACACACACACACACACACACCACACAGCAAATCAGCGCAATCGGTGCACAAGCTCTCTCTCTCCTCTCGTCTCTCATCTCTCTGCTCTTCGTTCTCCTCTCTCTCTCTCTCAGCACCACACACACACGCGCGCCGCGGCACATTGCACGCTGCTCTGTTTCTCTCGCGCGTTGTCCTCCTTTCCTCCTCTCTCTTTCTCTCGTCTGCATCTCATCGCTCGCGCTTTCCTCTCTCTCTCCCCTCTCGAGTCCTCCGCTCCTCTCTTCTCTCTCTCTCCGCTCGCAAGCTTCTCTCTCTCCTCGTCTCTCTCTCTCTCTCTCGCTCGCGCTCTCCTCATCTCTCTCTCTTCTCTCTCTCGAATGAATCCTCTCTCCTTATCCTCTCTTCTCTCTCTCTCTTTCTCTCTCTCATCTCTCTCTCCTCATATCCTCTCTCTCTCTTTCTCTCTCCCTCCTCTCTCTCTGCTCTTTGTTTTTACATACACAACACAAATACGCGCCACCCCTCTATCACACACAACACGCACGGGCTCGGAAAGGGGCACATCTCTCTCATCACTCCTCTCCTCTCCTCCTCATCTCGTCATCTCTCTCCCATTGCACTCTTCTCTCGTACTCTCTCTCTCTCATCTTCACTCCTCTCCCTCTTCTCGTCGTCTCGTACTCCTCTCTCTCTTCCCAATCTCTCTCTCGTCTTTCTCCTCTCCTCTCTCTCCTCTCTCCCTCTCTCTCTCTCTCTGTTCTTCTATAATTAGTGTGGTAGCGGCGTGTATGAATAGTAACTAATATATTATTACACAGATAAAAAAAAATATGAATTCTTCTTCTCTCTCTCTCTCCTCTATCTCTTCTCTCTCTCTCCCTCTATATATTGTGTGTGTGAGCGCGTGTAGAATATATAATATATATATATATTATATATATTATAATAATATATATTATAAAATACAATAGATAAAAAAAAAAAAAAGTGAATTCTGCTCTCTCTC